GGCGCTGGGCGCGCGCCTGCGCCTGCTGGTGCTGGTGACGTCGGCGCCGGCGCACGCGGCCGCGCGCGACGCGGTGCGCCTGACGTGGGGCCACTACGCCGCGCGCGCCGACGTGGCGCTGGCCTTCGTGCTGGGCGCGCCGCCCGACGCGCTGCGGCCCGCGCTGGCGGCCGAGGATGCGATGTACGGGGACCTGGTGGTGGGCCGCTCGATCGACTCGTACTCCAACCTGACGCTGAAGACGCTGTCCATGCTGGAGTGGGCCGACACGTACTGTCCGCGCGCGCCGCGCCTGCTGAAGACTGACGACGACATGTTCATCAACATCCCGCGCCTGCTGGAGTTCGCGGCGGCGCCGGGCCGCGCCAACGCCACGCGCACCATCTGGGGCAAGGTGGTGCGGCGCTCGTTGCCCAAGCGCACCACCAAGTCCAAGTACTACCTGTCGCCGCTGCAGTACCCGGCGCGCGTGCTGCCGGACTTCGCGACGGGCCCGGCGTACCTGCTGACGGCGGACTGCGTGGCCCCGCTGCTGGCGGCGGCGCCCCGCGAGCGCTACGTGCGCCTGGAGGACGTGTTCGTGACGGGCGTGCTGGCGGCGCGGCTGGGCCTGCGGCGCCAGCACGCGCCCGAGTTCTACAACAAGAAGGTGGCGCCGCACCCGTGCGCCGTGCAGCGCGGCCTGGCCATCCACATGGTGCGCTACCACGAACAGTTCGACCTCTGGCGCAAACTGCTCGACGGCAAGACCAAGTGCGCCAGCTAGGAGGCCTCACTTATTTTTCTATCGTTTTTGTTTTTTTACGAAACTATATTTTTATACTCGATCCTCGGCGGGCCTCGCTATTGCGTGCACCCCGTCGGACCTCGGCCGCCGTCTCGGGCCCCGCGACGGTCGCCCTCGGCCTCGGAGAATCTCGCTTACATATTATTATTATACTAAACTTACTACATTTTTTTTGTATATAAAGTACAAAGCGGTTAGCTTGCGTGACTATAGTCGCGTGCGTCGCGTAGTCCGTTGCTCGTGGACTCGCTCCGCGCGCCCGCTCGGGCTCCGTCGCGCCCCCGGGCCCCTCTGCGCCCCGGGCCCCACGCGGCGCCCCGGGCCCCACGTAGCGCCCCGGGCCCCACTGAGCCGCGGGCCGCCGAGCGACTCGCCGGTACAGACATTACGTTGTGTGTAATCGATACAATATGTCATATTGTACACGTATTCTATTCCATCACTGCGTGGAGGTTGTGCCAGATGTAAATAAATTATAGTATGTACATTGTAACGCCTTGTTTTATTTGCAACCCCTGTACTGTACTCACACGCTTCCACTCGAACCGACCAAGCCGTGAACAAGCAACACCAAAGCTCGAGTGAATCAAACTTTAACAATATAAAAGGTACCCTACCACCTGCCTAAATATATATTCTGTACTACTCGGGACGGGAGTCAGGTACACAATAGGTTCTCCGGCGAATGGTTTTGTCTCTGTTAACGCTTCATAATGTACCCTTTTCCACTTTTTTTACTTCTACACGGGCCTACGTATGGTGTTACGTCATCAAGTTCTAAGTACTAAATTAATGGCCATAATTTATTATTCCTTAAGTTTTGAGCATACTTTTCGTATTCTAATGGATGCTATTCTACTACTATAATTATAGTATCTTTTGAGTACTGGCGCGGTGACTCGCGTAACGTGTAGCGAGTTCAATTCTCGCACGGAGCTACTCTGTGTGCTCCACAAATTATTCCGGGGCCGCGTGTCATGTTGGTGAACTTGAATGTTTGTAAAAGCAACAAAATCCGAGTGTAGGCAATGTACTAGTGGCTGTAGAACATATAGTATAATGTACTCTGTGGTGCAGACGATATTTTACCCGTAAGTGATAACTGTACGTTCCGGTCCGGACTGAAGATTTCTATTGAGGCCCCCAGAGGGAACGGCTTACGCGGAAAAACTGGTTGATGCGACCAATAAATTTTTTCGGTTAGCCCCAAAAGTGGTAAATTTGCGATGTAAAAGCCGAATGTTTTTTTGTACTTTTGGTATGACGTGATAACCATGATTTATATTAGTCATTGTAGATAATTTAAAAATAACTGACTTGTATTTTTTATATTTTTCTGATAACTGTTCCATGACACACATTCTAGACCTGACGTTCATCGGAAGATTTGAAACTCGAGATGCCCCAGCACGCGAGCAGATCCTTTGACCGTTCTTTCACTGTTCGAGCTGTTCGACTGTGGAATGCATTGCCTCTCTCTGTAAGACGAGCACACTGCACAGACACTCGCTACGTTTAAAGCACTCGTGAGGAAACATAATCTCTCCACGGTGTAGTTACTTACTACTTCTTTCTCCCTGTTGTCTCTTATCCGTCATATGTTTATATTTTATTTTTAATTATTTACATATGTCCTTATGTATATATCTATGCGTGTGTATGTTTGTCTGTATGTATGTATGTGTGTATTATGTATATGTATGTATAGGTATGTGATGTAAGTAGGTACCTGAGTAGTTTTAATATATTCACATGCATGTAGTAAAAAGCAGATTCTATAAAATACCAATAAGAAACGCGAACACTCTACCGGCTCCACCCCCTTAGCACTCTCACTCACCCTCACCCCCACGGCGCACACGCACCTCATCACTCATTCGACATTCACTTTCACTCATTCAGTAATCAATTTGTGATTTGTCACTGCCGGGGGTGGTCGTTTGCGAAATATTTTTGCATAACCTTGAACTTCGTGTCACAAATTATTATTATCAAAGTTCTTAGTTCAGTGTTTATGTGATAAAAGAAAATTAGTCAATAATTACTTTCTAGTGTATGCTATATTGGACTTTGGGAAGCCGATACAGATCACTTCTTTCGAGCAATTCGCATCGTACCTAAACTCCCAACACAGGCATGACATGCATTTCGACACTGGCAGTATAGTCGACAACGTCGTTTTGAAGACTCGGTTGCCGAAGAGGAAAGAAAAAAAAAATCATGCATGCTGGCTGTTACCCAGAGACTGCAAACACATTAAAAGCAAGTGTCGTGGTATCGCATAGTCCAATCAATCAGTGACTTAGTGCATAACTGTTTTACTGTGCATAGCTGTAGATTGCGACGATGAAAACTTCGAACGAAAACTCCGAGTGACACAGGTAGATATTATTAAGTACGGAATTTATTTACTTACTTGTACATACATTCCGTCTCTAAGTACACCTACAGAGTACAGACTCATTACTAGATTTCTAATTGTTTGTACCTATTCAGCACTATATTATTATGCAATTTAGTACCTACTTTTTTTTTTTTTTTTAAGGGGGGAAAATCATCGAATGACTGCCCCCGCCTGGGTGAGGCGGGAGGGAGTGTCAGACTCTTACTGACTAAAAACCACCCCGTTCCTTCTCCTGCACGTCGAGCCGGAGCCCCGGTTACCCGTTAGGTTCTCCGCGACTCCGAATCGGCATCGGCCCTATTGGGCCCCATCTGTGGTGGTCTGATGGCTCTTTGAGGCGCGCGCGGAACGCGACGCGCCGTACGCTCGGGTCTGTTTCTGGTCGGACGGGGAGCCACCCATGCTCGCCGTCCGCAGGCCCGCGCTTACGGTGGCCGGAGATCGTCCCGCGATCCCCGACGCCCGGTGTGTCCTTCGCGATGGCTGGGTTGCGAGGAGGCAGCGCTTCGCTGCCTCACGCGTCCCGCCTCCTCCTTAGCTAGCATGACTGCTTCGCAAAAGGAGGAGACGGCATCCCAATCCCCCTCGCTCCGCATCATGGCCTGCACTAGGCCCGGACGCGAGAGGTCGCCATCGCCGATCACTTCCCTGAGGACACGGCGGTGCTCAGCCCACGAAGGGCATTCTCCCACCGTGTGTTCCACCGTGTCCTCAGGGCGGTCCTCGCAGTGATGACACCCGGGCGTTTCCTCCCGCCCCATCAGACACAGGTACCTCCCGAAACTTGTTTTTTTTTTTTTTTAAGGGGGGAAAATCATCGAATGACTGCTCCCGCCTGGGTGAGGCGGGAGGGAGTGTCAGACTCTTACTGACTAAAAACCACCCCGTTCCTTCTCCTGCACGTCGAGCCGGAGCCCCGGTTACCCGTTAGGTTCTCCGCGACTCCGAATCGGCATCGGCCGTATTGGGCCCCATCTGTGGTGGTCTGATGGCTCTTTGAGGCGCGCGCCATCCGCAGGCCCGCGCTTACGGTGGCCGGAGATCGTACCGCGAGGTTAGGTTAGGTCAGTTTTTTTTTTTTTTTATACAGTAGGAGGGGAAATCCTCATGGAGACTCACACCTCCCCACGAATAGGGAGGTGTGAGTACTGCCGGACTCTTACCGGCTAAAACCCCTCCTGCTGTGCCAAAGTGCTCCTCTGACGTGATCAGAGACCTTTGTGTGACATTTTATTTAAAACTATTATTTTGGGAACCATTTAAGTAAATAAATATAAATAAATACATACGTTTTATAAAAAAATAGATATATATTCAGGATAGATACTTAAATAAATAGAATTGACGCTACTGTCATTATATTATATCAATATACGTACTTAACGCCAAATTATTCTGCCCTTCACTGGTTCCGCCGGTTCGAGGTCCGGTGTTCTCCGTCATCGTAGTGCCATTTTCACGCAAACGCTCCGCCATGTGTAACATGACTATTTGAGTCGTTTGCGTGGCCTTCCAGGACTTCTAACGAGATGGTTTGCGCTACCAGATCCTATGCTCGCCGAGTGAAGAGCATCGTTTGTGTTCCCCTTAAATATGTCTGCGATCACGTCTCCATATGCATACCCTTTCCTGTAGGTGCCCATCGACCGCGACGATTCCACTTCTCGGCACCATATTCGCCACGCAGTGCGACTATATGCAATATTATCCGACATGGATAGCATTCGGTGTTCGGACCAACGCGGCAAGTTAATTGGCCTCTGTTCAAATTTGTACCACTTCCGATGAGGTTGCACACAATTTGCTTTCCTCAATTTCACGCCGCGGAGATCCGAGCCACAGTCCCATAATTTGTCTGGCGCGCTTTGCTCTGCGTGGTATCTTGCCTTTAGCGTGGCATCAATGACGAGTGCCTCGTCGCCGCTGCTTCCGGACACACTCAAAATAGCTCTATCCTCTTTATAGGGGAAACTTTCCAAAGATGTGTCGGCGTCTGAACCATTTGTGACTGCCTGTGGGACGCCAAATTCCACCTTAGCAATAAATGACGGACGCTCGGGCCAAGGCGTCCCACTTTTTGCGGACAGGGCAGTCCTGGGCGAAAATAGAGTGGCTTGTGTTACCTTGTCCATCTCTCTTGCAGTTAATGCAGGACGGTCCCACCCCTTCGGCGGATCTAGGGCAATCCGCCTGGAGGTGAGGCCCCCCGCAGTGGTTGCACAGGTCCACCTTCTCTGTGCAACTTTTTCGCCCATGCCCGTAGGCCAGACACCGACTGCACTGGACCAGCGGAGACTGGTCGAACACCTTGACGTGCTGCAGGTCGACGTAGATTCTGCCAGCCGAGGTCAGCCTCTCCCACATCCGAGGTGAGACCTGGAGGACGACGTGGTTCTCGAGGGAGTTCCGCGCCTTCCTCCGGTACTTGATGGTCACGGCTGACTCCTCGGCTGACAGACCCTCCAGCAGACGCGCGTTCTGCGTCTTAAGAGCGGCCTTTATGTCCTCGTCTGTATTGTAGGCCAGAAGGTCCCGGACAATTACGAGTGGATTTCGCTGACGCGCGTTTTCCACCCGCAACTGCCCGTCGGTCCCGAGCTGCGCCGTCATCCTTTCCAGCTCCTCTTTGCTGGCGCAGCTCAGCACCACCCTCTGGTCCTTGACTTTTCGGACCTTTTCCACCTGAAGGCCGCTCACCTTCGCGTTCAGCGCCCGCTGGACCCGACCCACAACATCGCCGCTGGTCTCCATTGCGTCGC